AACAACTAAATAATAGTTTCAGAAGTTTAATCTGAAAATGGGAAAACAACCTGTCTCAAGTGGGAAGTAGAGTCATGATAAAGTATATAGAAGATGAAATTATCTGCAATTTTATTTTCACTGCAGCTCTTTTCATTTAAAAATACCCACAGTATTTCAAATGACTCCCCGGTCCCGTTTCGTGGGTTCAAATTCTACGCAATTTTTTCATCATAATAGCTCATTTAAGTCCCAATTACCATGACCAATGAAAACTTTTAGAAAACATATATATGAGATGCAGTTATTCATTTCTGTATATTTAAAAAAATACGAATAAGTATTTAACATATTATACTTATTTATTTCTTTTGATAGGAGCTGACAGATATCGGTGTGCTGAAGCGACATAGGGCGACTCAGTACCGCTTTCAAGATCCTGTCAAAGCTGTATTGCCACATTCAGAACTTCGTCCAATATTACGGAACCAAGGACAAACCAGAGATTTGAAAATTGATGCCACCAATAGGTGCAGACCGTATATCCTGGGATACACAGGTTAGATTTTAATTTATCATGGCTTTTTTTTGCTGCTATTGTAAAATATTATGACAATTAACAGGTGCTTCCTGTTGTAAATAGTTTAACGTACTTATTTTCTCAGTAATATAAAAGTAACAGTTTGTGGTCGCTTTCCTCTCACAAGCCTAAATTAGTACTTTACTATTCAAGAGCATTCCAATGTCGCTAACCTTGCAAACATAAACGAGCATCTAAACTAGTTTCACCTCTACTCCCAATAAACTATGGATTCAAGACGAAAATTACCGTCGCAAAGTTTACTTTTTGCAAAGAATGTACCTAAGTTGCACAATTCTAGCAACATTGAAATGCTCTTAGTTCCTTTTTGCAAAATGCGATCCAATTGGTTGTTGCTGCAAAAAATAGTTTCCCACAACCTGCTATACAATGCTCCAGTGACCATGTAAGTTGGCCCGAGCACTAACTTAACTAACTTTTCGGGAAGAAAGCCTTTCCCCTACCTGGTTTCGCACTGAATATCCGCCCGAGTTTCGCATATCTTCCGTTCCTCCTCATCGCAGCTTCCATTAAACCGCAATTGCCCAAAAACTAAGACCGCACATCTTATCTGATAAAATCGTTCGCCCTTCAGACCGATTCTGGAGGGTTAGGCTAGACTAGTCGATGAGTCAACTGTTGATCTAATTTCATTACGTGAACGTAGAAGAAAAACGGGGTAAAAATCACTAATGTGTGATCAATTTTCAAGGACATTTCTGTAATTTCTCCTACGATTTTAAGTAGATTAAAACGCGTAATATCCAAAATCTAAGCTCAGATTCGGATTCCTCGTGAAAAAATGATGCGATTTCATGCATCAAATTTTAGAATAGCGTGAAGGAAAGAGGTTTAATGACGTAAAAAAAAAACACTAATGTGTGATCAATTTTCAAGGACAGTTCTGTAATTTCTCCTACGATTTTAAATAGATTAAAACGCGTAATATCCAAAATCTAAGCTCAGATTCGGATTCCTCGTGAAAAATTGATGAGATTTCATGTATCATATGTTAAAATAGCGTGAAGGAAAAAGGTTTAACGACGCGTGTAGATTCTTTCATACTTTCCCTTTGAACTACGCCGCCGCGGCGCTTAGCGTTCGGTTTCGTCCCGAGGAATTCTTCACGATAAATTCTTATTCTTCCTCCTCCGCTGACCCACTGAGCCATGTTGCCACGTTGCATTCATATGCTCGAATCAGTATGTCTACGGTACGTCTCTTTCCTTCACGCTATGCTCGGGTATGATACATGAAATTGTATCAATTTTTAACGAGGAATCCGAATCTGAACTTCGATTTTGGGTATCTCACGTTTAAGTCAAATTTTCCAAATTCGAAAATCTGAAATGACTGACGTGGCTTAAAATGTCATCTCGGATCCTGTTCGATGAATTTTCCTGAAATTCGGTGTCAGGGTATGATACATGAAATCGCATCGATTTTTTACGAGGAATCCGAATCTGAATTTCGATTTTGGGTATCACGCGTTTTAAGTAAAATTTTTCAACTTCAAAAATCCGAAATGACTGAAGTGGCTTAAAGTGCCATCTCGGCTCCTGTTTGATGGATTCTCCTGAAATTCGGTGTCAGAGTATGATACATGAAATCGCATCGATTTTTTACGAGGAATCCGAATCTGAGCTTCGATTTTGGGGATCACGCGTTTTAAATCAAAATCTGTCAAAATTCAAAATTCGAAAATCCGAAATGGCTTAAAATGCTATCTCGGCCCCTGTTCGATGGATTTTTCTGAAATTCGGTGTCAGGCTGTATTTTTCAACAGGAACTCGAATTTTTAGTCCATTTTTTAAAATTCTCAAATTCAAGATGGCGGACGTGGGCTAAAATGCTATCTCGGTTTCTGTATGTTCGAGTCTTGTGAAACGCGGTATCACACGGTATTTTTCAACGGAAAACCCGAATTTTTAGTCAACTTTTTAAAATTCTCAACTCCAAAATGTTGGATGTGGCCTAAAATGAGCCCCGGTTCTGGCCTCCGTTTCTGTTCGTTAGAGCTTTATGAACCGCGGGATCAGGGGTACTTTTCGACGGGAAACCCGAATTTTTAGTCGATTTTTGAAAATTCTCAAATCCAAGATGGCGGACGTGGCCCAAAATGCTATGTCGGCTCCTGTTCGGTGGATTTTTTTGAAACTCGGTGTCTGAGGGTATTTTTCGACCGGAAACTCGAATTTTTACTATGTTTAAAAATTCTCAAATCCAAGATGGCGGACGTGGCCTAAAATGCTATGTCGGCTCCTGTTCGATGAATTTATGGCGCCCTCATACTACATGCCTACTCTTGTATTTCTGTACAGCCGCAAATTTAGGGTCAAGGGGCGCCTGACCGTCTATGGACCAGGTGGAGTTTTTGTCCTGAAAATTTACCTTTTGACGGCAATTTTCTTTATATTTTGTCTATGGTTTTTAGGTATGCCCCCCCCCTTTCTCGCGGACTCTCTTTTCACTTTTCTTGCCTCCTTTTTCCTTCCATTTCCCCCCCTTCTTCCTTGCTTTCACTGCCCAACCTTGTTTCCTTTTCCTTTTTTCCCCTTGTCGTTTCTTCCCTTTTTTTCCTTTTTCCCCCCCTTTTTTCCCCTCTCTTCTTCTTTCGTGGCGCCCCCCAAAGGCTGGCGCCCGTGTGCGCCGCACGCCCTGCACACGCCCTAAGTCCGGGCCTGTTACTATTACTCAATCTATTCACCTCAGTTTTATCTCATCTTGGCAATTATCTTCCTTACCACGAATTGATGGACAAAGTAAGAAAAAAAAATGTGTAGGTACTTTCATTGCAATTTTTAAAAATCTTCGATTTTTCTGTGGTTTTTTTTTTTTAAAAAAAATAATTTCTATACCATTTTGAAATTTTCTGCGAATATTTTGGAATGAGTAAAGAAAATTTGAAAAGCAGCTGTTGGTAGTTTTTTTTTTTTTTTTTTAAACTTAAATATTAAATAAAACGCAAAGCTGAAACTTGCAACATCGCAATCAGGGATGCATATTTCTTCACTTTAGTCATCAAAATATTTCTTGCAACACTAAACTGTACCTCATTGCAACTTGCAAGTAAATTTATCAGAAACTGTGTCATTTTAAAATTAAAAGGTTTGTTCCAAAGTTTGCCCTTTCAATAAACTTCCACCAAGCACCGAGGCACAGAAAGCAGGGAGGTACAAAATCCTGAAATTAAGCCATGAATTGCCCAAGTGAATGGAGATTCATTAATTCTGTGAGTCAGCACCTAATAACATATTTTTGACGACTAAGATGCCGTTTTGAAAGTTTACAAACTGAAAGTTAAAACTAATGCAAGGAATGTTTCTTCAATGAAATTTCTCAGCAGTCTATAGGTATTTTTGTCATTATAATAGAAAATATGACATATACTTCGAAAGTAATGTTTGCAGTAGGTACAGATGCATAGGTATCCTTTAACTTTGAAGCCTGTCAAAAAGTATAATCTAAAATATCAATAATTCAATTTCATTAATATCTGGCTGCTGAGACCTTGATACATCCTTGGAGTCCATCATGAAGAATCTTCTCTCCTACTCCTAGAGTGTAATTGTAAACTCGAAAATCTATTTCTAGGTTACATTCCTGGAATGCATTTCCGGTATGGTACCTCTTTCCGCCAAGCTGCTGATGAATGTTATGATGAGTTAACCATGCGGTTAGCTGAGGATCAGAGTCGTCATTCCTATGAAAAATCCCACCCTAGAGTCCGATCAGCTCCTAAACTGATTTCTATCCGCAGTCGAGATCAAGTAAAACAGGCATTGAAGCAGTATGCAGAGACTCACCGATACAGAGGTGTGATAGATGTTTTCTGTTTTTTGCATTTCTCATTTCTATAGGATAAAATGATCGTGACTGCTTAACTCTGTATGAAGCATCATTATGCAGTGTTTCCGCTCTTGCACAGTTTTTTTTATCTTTTTTTAATATTTTATGTGTAAGTATACATTCGCAGGCGCACCTAAGGAGCCAGTGTTTTTTAACTCAAATTTCTAAACCAATTTTTAGTGCTTAAATTTCTCAAGCTCCCTAAAACTCAAAATAACAAGCTTTTTCCTATTTTTGTTCTGCTTATCTTGTTTCCGAGGGGCTTTAAACAATTCAACACACCAAATTAGAGTGCACGCACAGCAATACCGGTAAATAGTTATAAGGATGAAAGCAGCGCTTGTGCCTGGGAAAATTTAATCCTTTTTCATCCCGAAAGCGTTGAAGCTTTTTAAAATTAAAAGTTGCAAATTAGTATCGGCTCAATCTTCTTCAAAGTCTGATTTTATGAAAGAACATAATTTTGCTTGAACTCTCATGATTCTTGTTTGAAGGACGTAAAATAAAAGGAATTTTAACCATGTTAATTGAAGATGGTAAGGAACTTACCATTGCATTTCAAAAGTTATCTTAAAGTATGACCCTTTTGAATTACTGAGAGCGCAGTGAAATTAAACAGATAGTGAGATAGTTTTTTTAGAAGCATAAAATTTTGTAAAAAAAACCAGTCTGAAATAAAGGCGTTTCAGTTTACCTGGATCTTTGTTTAATACTGCTTTTTAATTTTCTCTTTTCCTGGACCATTTCATTTCTTTTTTTCCTTTTATTTTTCAGATCATCACATATCTCCAGAGTTCCCGCCGATCGCAGGATATACTGGCCACATACCCAAACTGAAAGTCACTGATGCCTCTCTGAGTCAGCGGTACCACACAGCTGCAAAGAAAGGATTGACCCTTTTAAAGCAGGTACGTAATGAGCACCCATCACAAAAGTGTGTAAAACAGTTTCTTATTCAAACTAGAATCAGAATTTTAGGACTGTATCAGTACTTTGCATGTATGGATATTTGAGGATAAAAGTAATCAAAACAGCTGGTGGCACCAATCCAGATATATTCTGTGAATTAACTCAACTATCTACATATTAGATTTTAAATTTTTAGAGTTGACAGTTTGCTGAACCTGATAGATGAGGAAGATAAAGAAGCGCCAATAAGTCCCCAATAAAGATAAAAAATTAATCATATAAATTAGAACTCAGTTTATCCATTCATCATTGAATTTCTCTTACTATACCAAGTCAAATGATGTAACTATGTGAAAAGTTCATGCTTTATTTTTCGAAGAGAAAGAATAAGTTTCCACCATGCGTATCACATTTAGAATAGTTTTTAAATTGATTTTAATACTTTTGAGTAGTGAATGATGCCTCTCACTGTCAGAGTGCCTTCAATCCTTGCAGTTATAGCTACTTACATGTATGAAATGTTGTTTGCGTTCTGCCATATTGAAGGGGCCTTATGCTGTCTCTTGTATACCAATACCAGTAAAAATCACAATAATATTCACCTGATGGGATGGCAAAGGAAAAAGACAAGAGAGAGTATTTGAAACTTTTACAGTTGTTCATCACCTTTGAAGAAACTTAAGTTTACCAAGCTACATTTTTTACCAAGATTCTGAGTTCTGAAGTTAGCATGACTTATTGAATGGGTGCAGTTCCTGTCATCATTATGTGGAACATATGATTTCTACTTTATAATCCAAAGGAATATACTTTAATACTGATCATACTTATTATGTAATCCTAATTACATATTTTTATGTCTCTTTCAGTCACATTTTACTTCTTAATTTAATTTGTAAATTATATGTTTCAGGAAAGAGAATCATTAAGAGATTATGATTCCAAAAGACTGGAGAATGCACTATCAACGCACAGGTTAACTCCAGTTAAAGCTGCATAATTGGATCATATATCCAGCTTGATTAATTAATTTATTATTTAATCTAATTTAGCCGTAAGTCGTGAGTAAATTCAACTCTGAAGTGGTCGCAAACCCAAGAATCCTATTCAAATCCTATCTATCTGCAGAACAAACTTTTCGCTCATCACCCATGTTCAGTATTCAGAGACAGGAAAAAGTAACGTTCAGATGGAAACAACCCAAGTTGCAATCAATACAATCTTTAATAGAAAAATAGTCAAAGAAGAGACGTTTTGGGCACAAAGTGGTATTTCTTATCAGATGTAAATTGAAGGAAACACCGGCCAAAACTGTTCGTAAGTTATGGCTGAACACAGCAAAACCCAAAATTGTATAAAAATTGTGGTAATTAATACAAAACTTGTCAGCTCTCCACAAAAATTATGAAGAGTAGCTTTCCATCTTTGTCATATCATATGTTACTGAAGGACCGCTTTGGGCCCAAAAAATCTTAGATTTAATGGAAGCCATGTGGCTTTGATCCCATCTAATCTATATTCCTTGTTAAGTGTTACTCTGAGTCATTTCATATTTGTGGACTTTCACAGTCTGAAATTCTTGCACATAATGTTATAGAGCACATTCAGGATATGGGCAAAGAGAGCTTAAGTTTTTTTATGTGTTTCGATTATTTCATCAGTTATGAAGCTCCTTGACACTCTCTCCAGTCAAATTATAATGATACTTCATTTCAAAACTAAGAAAATCATCAGAGATTCTTTCATCATTGTTTTTTTCTATCTGTAAATATGTACAGCTTTAAGTTTAAGCCCAAAATTTACCACTAAACAAGGTAAAAAATCAAGAACTACAGCTCATGATTTCTCATCAAAATTTCACGTCGAGTGCATTAAACGTTGAAATTTTTATATTTACTCATTAGTTACAAATGAATGTTCGTAGTTTACATTATAGCTAGTAAATTCGAACTTCCCCCTCCCAGAATAATTATTATCAAGGTATGCCAAACTAGGCATTGAAATCAACCTATCTGTCAGGCAAATAACTAGAGCTCTTGGTTTCAGACACTTTTCCTTCCTCCTCTGATACAATTTATCTTTAATCTGGTCAAAACAAAGTTAGTGCATAGGAAAATTCTTCTTCAATCGCATCTTATACTTCCCGAAATTTTTTCAATGCTCGGCTTAACCTGAGTAGACCATGGTTTTTCTGTGAGGGGGAAGTGTAAGTGAAGGCGGACAAAAACCATTACTCCCTCGCTCATGGTTGAATTTGGAAGTCTTCTTGCTTCCATCGTATTCTATGTAAAATTCTGATGAGGAAATAGGTTCGTGGCTCTTAATTTTGTACCCTTTTTAGAGCGGTTCATCAAGAGAGTATTTTCCCAATTCAACAGAAATTCGGAATTCCATTTCATAAAATTGTTCAAAATTCAAGAAAGCCCATTGCATCTTTGTATATATTTCTTTTGTAATAAGTGGAAGTCTCATTAGTATCTGCAAGTTTGTAATCAATGTAATGAAAAGTACAAATGTAGCACCTTGGACTTATACAGCGAATGAGCACCCTGTTTTGTCAAATGCTTGCCAATATTTTGGCAGACCTTGCTGGAGAATAGACTTTGCACCTTCAAAATCATAATATATATTGTGTATCATTTGCTTCACCCTAGAATTTTACGTTGGCCAGGAAAATGTTTAGGTAACTCCGAATGAATAAAGGAGTGTATGTAATGAAGTTGGTGTTTCTTTGTCCTATCATGACGGACACCAGCTGACGATGTCAAGGGTATTTTTGAGTGTCAGTGTAAATGTATGGAAGTGAACCATATCGATGGTAAATCTGCAGAAATGCATATCTCGATTTGTCAAGTTACAATTTTCCTATCATACTTTATTTTACATCGGAAACTACCAAACGTCATTTCTTGAAAAATTTGATGATTTTTCTCCAGGTGAAGGATGTTCTCTGGAAATTCCAAGTCATGATGTTGATTTGGTCTCCTTCTAAAAAATCAAAGAGAAGCGGAGATTTTGAAATACCGCAACGGAGACACACATTTTTGCAGTTTCACCATCATCATTCCCTCTGTTGGTAAATGAAGGACAATCAATTACTAGACAGAATTTGAAAAATTCAAAAAATTCAAAAAAAATTTGAAATGGAAAATGTTGCCATAGCAATCCAGAATTAATGTTCGGAAATCTCTTCAAGAAATTTCCATTCAGAATCTTGATGACAAACCATCTAACATTTTAATTAAATTTGAATCCTGTCTAGGGGTTCATTATTGATCCAGTACCAGTCCCTCATCTTCAAAGCCCTGGATGAATTTTTGTTGTACAATCAGAGTTTTTTATCTTTAAAATGTAACCCAAGTAGCGAGCATCTCTATCATCGTAAATAAAATTTCATGAATGCGATGTCATGTAATTCTGTTTTGAAACCATCACTATTATTAACTAATTTAGCTTCTTGAAGTATCATTTAAATTAATGTTCTCGCTTTTGTCTTTTCAGCTTGTTAACAGTTGAATCTAGTAATTTAACACGCAAAGTGCCTAATTTAGCTGTTTCTTATTTTTTAAATGTTCTATTATTTTTTCAAGCTCTTATTCCTGGTGATGAAGTTTTTTCCGTCCTATAAATAACTAAATTTAAAGAATCCTGCGAAAAAACATGTAATCACCTACAGCAAAGATTGCAAGATTTGTGTGATTTCTCGTGTTTTGAGTATGCTCAAATACTCTTTTCTTTCCGTGACTTATTAGACTCTTCGTACCTACAAAGTTGCCTAGTTATAAAATAAGGTATTGAAGGACATGTAATGTAAATTTTTTGAGGTGACTGTTTTAAGATAAATGCTAAAATTTTAAGTGCCTAATTTTCCAATCATTGTTGATTGTTCATTACCTTACATCATGAAGGGAAAAAATAACTGTTTTATTGTGATATAAAATGACTTGCTTTTCTTTGTCATTAGGGTCTAGGCAGCATATTAGATTTTGAATTAGTTGTAACTATATTGTGAACTTATAATTGTACCTACTGTAGTGTGAAAAATTTTACACCATCCTATAAAATCATGAATACCAGTATTTTGCTTTTCAAAATTTTTACAACGTTCAGCCGAGTTACGGCCCAAAATATATATTTATCTATTTTTAAATGAAGTATGTCATTTTGCAACACTGACTGTAACAATGACTAGAACCTTTCCTCTGACCAAATCCTTTCCTGAAAGGCCTATCCAACAGTCTAAGTAGGTCTGAGTAGGTTTTTACCTACAGAAAATGTTTTTAAATACCCGATTGCCTGGTCTTCTGAGCTTTTACCTTATAAATCAAATTTTTTTGGTTTTAAAGAAAAAATTAATCTGAATGCTCTTAGCCCCGCTTATTTAAAAGCTTAAAATTATAAAAAATTGAAACGATCTTAAAAATACTTGAAATCGCATAAAAAGTATACATTTAAAGATCTGCCTTGAATCTACGGTACATACAAGCTTAATGGTATGTATTTTGATAGATACTGTGAGATATACTTGTTATAATTTCCATTCATTCAATTATTATTGCAGTTTTCCTATTCCTTTTTTTTATAACAAAAAAATTAATGCTCCTTGATATTTTTGCTTTTTCAAGTGTGGCTATTTATTTCTTTCCTGTAACATTCACTCTAATTTTAATAGGTATTGCATTGAGCCAAAATAACTAAAATTTTACAAGCAATTCATTTTAATCCATCTTGACTTTAGTTATGAATTGTCATTCTCAGATTAGTGCTGAATTTTTATCATTTTGATCAATGTGCTAAACTATTATCTTGTTTTCAAAATATAGTACTTATTTATTTTTCTGTGTTGCCTATATTGTTGCATTTTATTTCCCAATATTTACAATGATCATTCTTCAGAGCACTGTAGAGTAAAAAAAATAGAAAAATGGGCCAATCAATCTATAATTATTTACGGTGAGGAGGTTGTCAGTATAAAAACAGCATCTGTGAATACTTTTAAAAAAAAAACTATTTTTTCTAAAGTACCAACATATACATTTGTTCCTGCGTTTTTCCACTTGTATTGGAGATATGTTCTGAATAATGCGTAAGTATTTGTGGCGCCCTTAAGAGGTACTGCTACCTCTCTCTGCATTTATTCGGGGAAAAGGATCAAACTTCAGAGACACTGTTTGTAGATACCTACTGGGAGAAACCTGGTAGACGTAGGACTATAATTTGACGTTAAACTTAATCCTATTATTCTTGGTTAAATACTTATGTTATTTTAGCTGTGATCATCCCACTTAATAATAATTCATAAATCTCTCATTCATGGTCCAGAAGTCTCACCTAATCCTCAATCAAATGGAACAGCAGCAGCGCTTGCGGCGATTAAGTGTCAACTTGTCTAACTAGAGTTCTAATTTTAATTTTTTTTTTTTTTTTTTTTTTTTTTTTTTTTTTTTTTTTAAACGAGAAAATCACAATAGACGTTAATTTTTCAAAAATCCTGCCGGATTCATACTCATGATGATCTAGGCTAGAAGACCTGTCTTGAAAATTCAATGATTGAATCTAAGTATGAATAAAACAAGTTCATTTTACTTTGTAGGAGCAAATAAAGACCATAGATTTTCAGCAAAAGCAAACAAAATTCAAGAGTTAGCCCATATCTCCTGACCAAAAAGTCGATGAGATGTTGAATGGGAGGAGGTCATACCAAAGAAAAAGGGAATTCCGAAAAAAAATGTTCTCATTTTTCCTTTCACAATTGAGCTATTCCAAAGGAGTGGAAAAATTATATTGTGTCAAGCACCGGAAGACTTCACCTCAAAAAAAATTAAACTGAGAATTCCATTTATTTTTAGAAGTACGTATAAAAAAGTTTCATTTCCCGAAGTTATTAAACTGAAACATGGTTTGAATTCAGGGCATTGTAGACCTATCAAAAATCACTGGAATCTAACTGTATGGTTCATTTTGACATATGTATAATGAAAAATTTGTCATTGAAGGAATCTGCAATTTTTTTTAGTCTTTGAAAATTGTATAGTCGTGAATGTAACCACTGGAACAAAATTAGTAATTTAATCTGGGAAATTAAAGGCTTTTGAGTACAGTAATACCCTGATTATCCTAGATACAAAAAATGCTGAAATCAAAAATGTTCACAAGCATTGAAAACGTTCTATTACTCCTGAACACTTCCAATTATTTAAATAAAGTTTTGAAAGCATTTTTTCCGGGGGATAAAAATAATCTTTGAAGTTTCCTTTTTTAAAAGATTTAAAAGATTTGGCATGCAGAAATTTTCTTCCACACATGTTGTGCCGGGGAAGTGTTATTCGTTTATGTTTGAAGGGGCCAAATACGAACAAAATTGTGGGGAAGATCCTCTGGATTTCACTTAAAAGGAAGGAGGGGGTTCAGAGTTTCTACATAGGTACCCCAGATTTGTTCATTTCGGCACACCCACAAAGGATGCACAGCGCATGCATTTGCATGACTGTAAAAAATATTATAGATAAAAGTGAAAACCTTACATTTTTTGAAGGAAAAAAGATTTCAGGTATGGAAATTTAAATCTTAAATCATATTGCAGGATTTTGAAGTCTTGCCCAGCCGCAAGTGGTTGCGTACAAAATACAATAAACACATCCTCACAAATGTATTCGAGTTTATTAGGATCGAGGGAAGTTGTATCAAGATTAAACTGAGAAAAAGAGGTTTGAAGTTTTATTCTTCCACTATGAAACTTAATGCCAGAGACAAAGTTTATAATGTCTATTTTCACACTCAAAAATACTTTTTCTCAACTTTGAATTTTTGGTAGGAGACAATATGTGGCTAGCTAAGCTGGAAACGACTGATAACAATTTTTTTTTCTAAATGCAACTCGGCTCCTCTCTGTCTACTATAATCCAAACCTAATCCAACAAAAAAATGAAAAACATCGGCTGAGTAATTTTATTATCTTTTTAAGCACAAAATATAATAATAAAATATAATGAAAAGAAATAGCTGTGCTGGAAATGATGCCATACAATGGGAATTACATACGTAATAAAATTAATCGATTAAAGAAAACATAAGTTTTATGATTTTATACCAAAAATATTTTACAGTGCAGGCAAAGAATTGTTCAATTAATTTTACTGTTCATTACATATCTTATTAACTGAAACTATGTTTCATATTTTTAAGATTCGCAGACTGCATGGAAACAATTAACAAAGGTATTAATTTTCAAAGACGGTGACTCGATGAGAATAATGTAAACAAATAATCCATTTCTTTTGAATTTGTGACATTCATCGTAACCGAGCCGCACAAATATTTGGCGCTTATTTTTTTAAATCCTTCCAAGGATATTCAAATTTTATCCACTCATCTTCACTGAAGCCGCGCGCAAACATTTGATTGGCTCTTCCGTACCAAACAAGGAACGGAGTGATTACGTCACGAGGAAAGTTGAATGTGAAATCGCAGGTCAATAAAACGTAAATAAACAAGCCTTGTTTGGTTGTGTCCCATTTTCTTCTCTTTAAGCTTAAAATTCGGTTTTCTCGCTTACATTTTCGCGTTTTAAAAGTCGCAGTCTACATTTCGGTGTTATTGTCAATTTTTACAAATTCTTGTGCTCCGTGAACATTCAAAGACAATCTAAAGATCTCTCGTGAAGTGCGTGAATGAACAAGGGGATCAGTGTCCACCACTCTCGATAGTTTCCTAAATAACTATAATTACTAGCTACTCTAGCTAAAAGTAAGTTTCCGCCACAATATATCCATGCAATACTCTCATTTTAATTTAAATTCTAGCAATTGTCAATTTTTTTTTCCCAGAAGTAGCATGTTATCTAGTTTGGTGGTTTGAAAGGCAGGCAAGATGGCCTGGCCTTCATCAGCTGCAGCTGCAGTGTACTCTCTCTGAATGGGTCCTCCTCCTCCTCCTCCTGTTATGTAGATCATGGACAGGGGGGGTCCATTAATTAAGAAATTTACGTCGCCTAGTAGTCCAATTTATTTTTGACTTTATCAAAGTATTTATGTCGCATTTCTGATGTACAAGAAGTGAAATAATCTTCTTTATCTTAGAAGTCGTGTCCTGCATTGTATGCTAATTAAGTTTTTTATCAACTTCTTACACCGCAAGTTTATTAACCTCATAAGAAATGAAATGTTTCTTATAAATTAATTTCTATTGTCTTCACAATTAGTTCTGAAGACTGCGTTTAGTGAACTGTCAAAATACATTTAAGTCCGTAAAAATAATGCCAAAAACTTAATTAATATAGACACTATGATATAGGGTGATACGTACAGTCACACATTCCAGAAATTTTTCAGATGTTTTCTGTCTCAACAAAATAAAACTATCCGTATGTCTTTGCATTACGATGTCTCGATAATTTGGCATTTTCTGTGTCTTACAATTTGATGGTAACAGAGAGGGGGGGGGGATTCGCTGTGGTGTTTTCGATCTACCTCAAGGGATCATTCCATGTTTGCATAATACTCTCTTGTATTTAAAGTTAAGCAGTTGGTGGCAAGGTGGTAAGTATAGAAGTTTATGTCACCCTGTATATTCATATGTACAATTTTTGCTTGGATATCCTTTGTTTCAGGCGTGACGGAGATCTCCATTGATCCTTAGAACAATAACCATTGACCCGATTCGTTTTGTTTCTTGTTGGTTGGAGACAGAGTGATGGTGATATTCAGCAAGAATAATGGTCTTGTCCGGCTCTTCAATAAATTGGTAAGTTAACTTTCAGCTTCCCCCCTCCCCCCCCTGAACCTAACTTTAAGGCATGCTTTCTCCTATTTTTTTACTTCTTTTTCACATGGAGACTGGATCTAATTCTTGTATCCTCCCCCTTTTCCCCCTCGGATTTAACCCATAATCGCTCACTTATTCACTAAGCAGTGGATGAAAACGGAGAACTGGTGAAATTCTTGAATGGAGTACACTGGTCGTCACTTCCCCTAAGCTACAATTTCGTCATGTTTCAAAATTATCATTTTTCCAAATCATGACTAATGTATGAACAGGGGGAGGAATCCAGCCACAACTCGGATCGAGGGTCCAGCCCCAATTCATGAGAAATGACCGTTTCATTGACAAAATTTATGGCCAGATCCCAAAAATGTGGGTCCAGATACATCTCGCGAAACTTTGTTTCATGCGATGTCTCATTGAGGTGGAATGCAGGGATTTTTCCCCCATTCAATCCCTAAAACTGCTCCAAGAACCTACGAGTTTTTAGAACCAAGTATTTGGAATTAAACACAGACCTCAAGAAAAGTTCATCAAACTTACAAAATCCCTGTATCAGAATGGTTGCTTCTGCAGTTTAGAAGTTTTGAAAAAGTGCCAAAAAAAATTTCAGTGATTTGTATTCTCAAAAATTAGCATTTTTCGAAAACCTAAGGGTACTTCAAGAGAAAAAAATGAGCACCTTGCTGAGAAGGTCCAGGGACACAGTCTGCCATGCTGAGGAACAACACTGTAAAAGCCTTCAGACGTTGCCAAATTCCCTTCAATTAGATATTTATTCATCTGGGGGATCATGAATATCTTTTTTTCGAAGTTTTCAGGTACAACCGTCAGTATTTTAGCTGAAGAAATTTTGCAACGTCTAATGGCGCATACGGTGCTCTTCCTCAGCACTGCAGCGTGCGGTCCACGTGACGTACTCGAAAAGATGCGGAGTGTTCCACTGTTCTGCTGTGCTAAGAAAGAACGCCGTATCAACATTCGAAAGCTGCCAAATTTCCCTTGATAAAACATGTATTTTGGACAACATTCACGCATATTTTTCCTTGAAATTTTCAGGTAGGTATTTTAGATTAAATTGCGTTCAAAA